AAAATTATGCTTATCAGAAACAGCAACTGTTAAAGATTACTTGCTAGGTTGTAGGTTTATTAGTTGTATTTTTCCTGTTAAAATAACGTTGCTGATAAGATATAAGAGAATTTACCGTAATTTGAAATATCCACTCGTTTTCAATTTTTTTAATATCAAAAATATTTATAAATGCTACGATAACAAAACATTGCAATACTTTTAATGTAAAATGTACCGAACAGTGGATCAAAAAATGCCTAAATAAATAAAAGAAATAAAAGGAGAAAAAAAATACGGAAAAAAAGTAATATCTTGAATAACTTTTGGTCTTAAAAAAGTAAAGTTTCGTGATTCCTTAGCAATCATGATACCTTAGAGCATAAGCTATTTATTTGGTTTTAAGTTTACTTTTCGGTTTTGAACTTTTTACTAAATGTGTAGTAACAGGGAATAGAATTTGGAAAACCAGAATTTCTGCTACACTTATGGTATGTAAACGGAAAAAATTTCAATTTAATTGTTTTAATAACTACTATTTTGGTCTTATTAACCAGAATTATGGTTTTTTTAAACCAGAAGTGTCGCTACCAAACAGTAGAGTAATTTTATTACAACATTTTTCTCCGAGCGTACTTTGGAAAATTTTGCATTAAAAGTTTAGTCAGAAATTCAACCATGATTTAAGTATCAATAATAACTTTTTGTGTGTGTGCGTGTGTGGAATTAATTGCTTAAAGAAAATGTGTTTTTCGTGTACAGTTATAAAAATAGATTAAACAAAAATTACTTGGCCATAAATTAACTTATTTTTGTTTACTAAGTTTCATATGAACCCAAAAATGCGTCAAAAATTTTTATTCATAGAAAATAGGTTTTTTGTGTGATTACGTATTTTATGAGTAATCGCAGAGAGTAAATTACATTTTACGACAATGTGATATTGCCGTACCGTACCGTTCACTACGGTAAAAACATTTCTGGTGGAAAAAAAAACTGTATTTCTGATAATAACATCAAAATTCAAGCTATTTATTTGATCATGTTTCCGTTTATATGGTAATGGTTTACTGAAAGTTTAAGTTTTTTAAATTATAGTTCTTCTTACCACACATTTAGAAAAAAATATAAAAGTGAAAAGTAAATAAATGGTTTTTATACCATGCTTGGTTTTATGTTCTAAGGTATAATGAAAAAATTAACAATTGACACATGTACGAAGTTTTAACGCATATTATTAAACAATATTTTGTTGTCACTCAAGGGCTTCGGTTTAAATTAGAGTGTTTTTTNGTTTACTTTTCGGTTTTGAACTTTTCACTAAATGTGTAGTAACAGGGAATAGAATTTGGAAAACCAGAATTTCTGCTACATTCTGGTATGTAAACGGAAAAATTTTCAAATGAATTATTTTGATAACTACTATTTTGGTCTTGTTAACCAGAATTATGGTTTTTTTTTTTAACCAGAAGTGTCGCTACCATACAGTAGAGTATTTTTATCACAAAATTTTTCTCCGAGCGTACTTTGGAAAGTTTTGCATTAAAAGTTTAGTCGGAAATTCACCCATTATTTAAGTATCAATAATAACTTTTTGTGTGCGTGCGTGTGTGGAATTAATTGCTTAAAGAAAATGTGTTTTTCGTGTACAGTTATAAAAATAGATTAAACAAAAATAACTTGGCCATAAATTAACTTATTTTTTGTTTACTAAGTTTTATATGAATCCAAAAATACGGCAAAAATGTTTATTCATAGAAAATAGGTGTTTTGTGTGATTGCGTATTTTATGAGTAATTGCAGAGAGTAAATTACATTTTACGACAATGTGATATTGCCGTACCGTACCGTTCACCAGGGTAAAAACATTTCTGGTAAAAAAAAAACTGCATTTCTGATAATAAAATCAAAATTCAAGCTATTTATTTGGTCATGTTTCCGTTTATATGGTAATTGTTTACTGAAAGTTTCAGTTTTTTAAATTATAGTTCTTCTTACCACACATTTAGAAAAAAATATAAAAGTTAAAAGTAAATAAATGGTTTTTATACCATGCTTGGTTTTATGTTCTAAGGTATAATGAAAAAATTAACAATTGACACATGTACGAAGTTTTAACGCATATTATTAAACAATATTTTGTTGTCACTCAAGGGCTTCGGTTTAAATTACCGTGTTTTTTATAGTTCTCATAGAGCCAGAAACACAGCAAATCTTACCATATTCTGGTAGTTTTGACCATACTATTCCTTCATAATACATCACGCAATTATTATGTTATAATAAATGATTAATGTCTTACAATTACATAAACATAAAGCTCATCTACTCTTTCCTTGTAATTACTCAAAATTTTTCGAAAATGCAGTTTTGTATCATTTCTATGATCTAAAACAAACATCTTTTTATGTTAGATAAATTTAATACAGTGATGAGTGATATTGAAATTTTTAAGGGTTTTAACCTGTGCTTTAACTAAAACTTAGTTCATTTTCGATCGCAAATGTAATGTAACAAATGTAAATGTTCTATAACAAATGCCCTATGTAACAAGTTTGATACTGGTAAACATATTTATTTTTCCTATTTCCTGGAAATTTTTGCTGTTTAAAACTAGAGCTTTCTATGTTATGGAAGCAGTAATTCTCTGGGTTACAGATAAATTAAAGAAGCAAAGAATAAGACATCTTTTTTTTCGAACACGCTGCAAAAACTGGTGCGTAATATCTCCCCGAATATGATGCTTAACAACCCAAAAAATATATATTTCAAGCAAACACCAAATCGAACTTTTATATTAATTTAAAGAGGGTAGTTTAAAACTGAACACCTAACGCGAAAAAGCTTGCACCAATGTCACGGGAAATCAACGCCGTGATTGAATTATTTTCGCTTTCGAGAACAACAATGTTGGCGTACTTAAGATAGCGTCAATAAATTGTTTATAATCCAATACAAGTTGGCGTGAGTATGTCGTTGTCTTCTACTCTGTAATACACATACTGAAACAAAAGCTCACTGTTAAAATCTGTATGTTTTTAGTTGTGTAACAAGGATAATTATATTTGTAAACTGAAAACTGTAATAAATAATTTTTTAACGTGTAATTTCTGTCCGCTTCTGTGTTGTTTAGCTTGTTTTGTGCAGTTTCGTCTTAATATTCTCTCTGCGTTACGCGTATCCTTATTTTGCAAACTAATTTTATTTTAAGTATTTGTGTGCAAATGTATCATAATTAATGATTCTTACTTTATATTGTATCGTAAAAATAGCTTTACTGACTCTTATGTGTATCTTATCTTACTGTAATTATTAATTTTATTATTACTGAATACGAAAAATGGTGGCAGTTACTTTACACCAAGTAGTGTCAAAGAACATTCTAATGGCGTAATGAAGCACTGAAAATTATCTATGATGTTTCCCTAAACATTCTTATGGCGTAATGAAGAACAGCAATTTATCTATCATGTTTCCCTAAACATTCTCATGGCGTAATGGAGAACAGAAAATTATCTATGATGTTTCCCTAAACATTCTCAGGGCGTAATGAAGAACAGAAAATTATCAATGATGTTTCCCTACACCACTTTCTAAAAAATAGTAAGTGTTTTAGTGCTAATATACATTAAACATTTATACAGCGCGTTATCAAAGACGGAATCTTTCTTTAAATTAATTATTTAAATTATCCGCAATAGTCATTCTTTTAACACAATATACCTACACTCATTATTGTTATTAATTAGTACCAGTATATTGCAAAATAGGAATATTTTTAGCAATTCAACTCCTTCTCTGCTTAACAACGAAAACAGGTAAATTCGAAAACAACTACGTTGACACTGAATTACGTATTTTTTAATCTATTTCCTTTATTTAAAGGTTATAGCTGCCATTGAAAACTGTTTTGATACTAACAATTGCAAATAGAAAAAAAGATTTAGACGTATAGGGAAAGTCTTTATATCTGCCGAGCAAGACGAGGAAAGGACCGTAAACTTCATGTGTCACGTGAAGTGTTTGTACCCACGTGATTCAGACACACTTTCGATGACGACCTACATCTTTGTGCTTAATTTTGTTACGAACATCCCAAACGATTTGTCGATGGAAAGTTATGCGGTAGTATACAGAATGCAAAAAACCAGGTGGCGATGACCTCAATCTCTTGTTTTGGCGCTTAAATCGAAGGTTTCGATGCCACTGTTACAATTTTATGTGTTCTTATTGCAGAATCGTAAATGTTAGTTATTGGCAGTTCTGGTACAGCTAATTAGGTAACTTCTGTGAGAGAAAACTAACACCCATCAATGCCATTTAGAAAAGTGATGCGGCTTCTACCACTAAGTCCAGAATAACATGGTGTAAAAATAAATAAATAAAAGTGCTGCTCAAAAAAAAAAATCAAAGAAATTTTCGATTAGAGAAGGGCAAGCAAGAAAACCATCACTCAAAAAAAAACTCTAAAAAGAAACATTACCGAATCACTAGAATACAAAAATACCATGGTACTAAGGGCAAAATCTAAAACAATACATAATGTATAAAAACGAAATTGCGAATGGGCTAAAAATAAAGAATAGAACAATACTGAAAATCTGAAAAAACCATGAATCTAATGGAAACGATGAATACGAAAGAATCGTGAATCTGATAAAATTATGAAACTGAGCAAAATAAAATCAGTGATACAGCGAATCACTAACGGTTCATGAATTTTCTTTTTTTCCCCGCGGTTATAGGAAATGGGTACAATCAGTGATGACAATTGTTTAAAGATGATGTCTTACTTATTTTATGATTTTTAAAAGAATCATACTCAACATGGGACGATCAATATCAACATTTATGGGACGTAATTACCGAAGGACAATTTTAAATACGGAATATTTTAAATTTTTAACTGAGTTATCACATCTTTAAATACTATCATTTTCATTGATTTCAATCATTAAGTGAATTGGGTAAAAAAAGCTTAATTCAAATATTGATAAAACACATTTGAAAAGATAACTTACCCAACATAAGGAAAGGTGCTGCTAAATTTAGTCCAATGAATTCCAATCCACAGTAAGCTGTTAAACCAAAAGCACCCGCAACAGCAACTGCAGACGAGAAACATCCTATGACACCAAGCCACGGCTTGCTTTTTACCCAATCTAACATCATGCACGTAGATACGGAAAAAGCAAGCATAATTACAACTGTTACACTAAAAAGTGGTAACACTGATATGGTGTTTTTTTCCAACTCCGCAGACAACGTTAGTGAAGTGTAATACGCTATATTAATATGCTCGAATTCTGCTTCTTCCATCAGCTGTAAGAATTCTCCTTCCCACTGATTGGCCCTCTCCACTTTTCCTGGCGCGTCTTCCAAAAAATACAGTAAATTAACAGCCCTAGCTGATTCAATTTTATCAAATTCGTCAGTTTTCACACCACCGAGAAAAGCAGCACTGAAAAATATGTTAAACGTCACTTCGTTAATCATGAGAGGGTAGTCGATAGAATACTTTCCTGCAGCCATGTCATCAATTCGATCGTCGAAATTGAGGATATGGTTTTCGAAGCACCTCCTGTTCTTCTTGGCACACATGTTCTTGTATTTCCACAAACGATGGCTGTTCCAGATGGTGATGTTATTCACCAACTTGTCAATCTTTTTCAGATCACCATATACTTCTTTATCGAATATACTTTTACCATCCTTTGCCTCTATCATGATTCTCGCGAATGGGCTGATTCGCGTCATGCGGCCCACGTCGAAATCTTTCGACAGATTCATGGGGAATAACGTCTCTATAATTTGACGTTCATACTTGGCTGGTCCGTCCGTGGGGCTGAAGAGATATTCGGGGTCTGCTACGTAATTAATCCGTTGCATTCCCGTTGCAAGAAGAGCCGAGATTAGGAAAGGAACTATGATGAAATAGCCCGGTTTCTTGCCAACCATCCATCCGAGCTGACGAAACATGTAGGAGACAAGCCGGTCCACGCAGTCACACTTCATTGTGTGCTTGTGTGGTTTATTCGGATCTGGGGCTGAAAAAGAAAGATAAATAAATCAGGCAAAATTATTTCAAACAATAATGAGATTTATTTGTTAGTATTTACGGAAATACAAATAATATTTTGAAAAAGTTCTCAAGTTAATTCTCTACTTATGTGTATAAGATAAGAAAAGAGGATAAACCAAAGTGTTTTTCACCCAAACACTGGTTGTGCCTGACATATCCATAGAGCAGTGTTTCCCAAAGTGTGGTACGCGTACTCCCATGGGTACAGGAATAGTTTAGTGGGGGTACGCGTTCTTATGCGAAATATGTTACAACAAGCGAAAATTTCAAAATTTTTTATTTAAAACCAAAGCTAGCCATGAAAATGTACGATTCCGTATTTTTCTATTGGCTATTTTTTGCAGAGTTAACAGTTAATAATTAGTGGTGTCAACAGCCAGTTGTGCTTTTTAACTTTTGCAATTTTTTTTTAATAAAAAATGCATAAATTTTTTAATTAGGGGTACACAGCGTTACGAAAAACTTAGAAAGGGTACACAAAAGTCATAAGTTTGGGAAACACTGCCATAGAGTGATAAGTAAGTATGAATATCCATCTCTTCGTCTTTTAGCTGAGTGTTTCGAAAAAAAAAATTTCTCTACTAATACAACATTGTACTATTATGGAACAATGAGCGTAATCTGAATTCTCTACATATGTATACGTAGAGAATTTTAGTACATTAGCCTGGTCGGTAGGCAGCTGGGCCCATGTCCGAGAGTTCGTGGGTTCGAACCCCACCAACCGAAGTGACTGATGCAAGTTAAATCTGTCGAGTCGCAAAAATCCTCCATGTTCCCGTAACATTAGGTGAAAGCAGTTATTAGGTGAAAGCATTTAATAAAAAAGTGTTTCTCACAGTCAACAGTTTGAGTACCATTTTATTCGACTGTTTTGTTTCAATATGGTAAAATAACAATTCCATTTATTGCTATTTAATAACTTTTTTCCGAGACATTTCTAACAGTGCAGGCAAGTGCATAGTAGAACAGTGCAGAATTACGTAAACAAAACATGTAACTAAACAAACCTTTCTTAATTTCATGCCTGAAAACCCTTTGAACAACTGAAATACGTTTTAAAACTTTTTTAGTTTATTTATTGAAATGAAATAAATGAGAACAAGGAGAAATAAACAGAAATCCAGAATTTTTTCGAACACTGGGCACTGAGTAGAGCAAAAGAAAGAAAGAAAATGTTATGATAACGTTTCACGAAGTAGGCCCTTGAGCTTGCGGCAACAGTTTACTTTTTCTACTATAAACGCGAGTTACTACTTCTATGTTTTTACTTTTCTTGAGAGCCTCGTTTCCAAGAGATTATTATTCAAGTAACACAACAAGGCGTGCCATGAATATAGATTAAAATATGCACGCTAATGGATTTTATTTCCTTTATTGAAGGATTTGTAAGCCAGATTTTGGTGACATTTCATGGTTAAGTGTAATATTAGAGAAAAATGTGATAAGATGAACATTTTTTGAAAAAGAAAAGGGCGATTATGCCATATTCCATTACTATTGTCATTCGATTAAAAAAAGACTAATATAACTTAAATTATTTAAAAACTGAAACATTATTTAAATTATAATAAACATTATTCATTGTTTGTTTAACTAATAAAGTTAATTTATTTCTATCAATCTATCTATTTAATCTACTTTTTTAGGGTAAAAAATTCGGGCAAAAAGGAATCAATTTCTATGTTGTATGAAAAATTTAATAAAATTATTTAAATTAATACTTCAGAGATTATGAAATTTATATTGCTGATATAAAAAAGTAAATGTTGAATAACATTTTTAAAAAAATAAATTTTGATTTGAAAATAATTAATTTTACTACAATATTTGTTTAAAAATATATCAGTACAATTTTTTAAAATTATAGTACTTAATTTTATTTTGTTTAATGTTATTTTATTGTAGGGTACATCTAAGAAGTAATATTCACTTGCAAATAATTATGCATCTTTTGCCCTAGAGCTTGTTATTATTATATCTCTACTAGTTTAATTACCCGTTTTTATACAAAACACAAAAACTATATTTGTTTTTTGGACAAATATTGCCTTAGAATAACTTATATTCATTACTTTTATGTTAATGACTTCATCATACTATAAACTAAAAATTAACGCTATAAATGAATTTATTTGTATAGTTTCATGAATAGATACGGGATTCTTATTTGCCATAATTTGCAAAATTATACTTCAAAGTATGATATATTTAAAAATTTATTAATGCTTACAAAAATTACTTCAAGATGTTATAAAGTTAATGTTATTATATAAAAACCTAAAATTGCAATAATCAAAAAACATCATTCAAACTAAGAACAGACATCATTTTCTAAAAATAACTTAATTTAAGAAACAAAGAGTAATAATTAAAGTATACAAATAAGAAGAACTTATAACTTATTCTTATAAAAAACGAATGGCACTTTGAAAATATAGAATAAAATAATAAATGAAAGATAAATAAAAATGGAAAAGAAAAATATGAAGGGATTATGAATGTGAGATACGAAAAAAGCAGAAAAAAAGCTTGAAATTAAAAAATATTTAAAAAACATGAAAAATACCAAAAAAATTAAATTATAACTTAATTTAAAGATTCCATTGCTTATAACACATTCGAAGATAAAATTAGTAACAGTGATTCTACATTGCTTTATAATCGAAGGGATAATTTGAAAAAAAAATTACTAATTTAGTATTCTACGCATACAAGCTGATTGAATTTTAAGTTCTGTTCATCTAATTTTTCAAGGCTGTTAAAGGTTCAAATACAGGTGCCTTTTACTGATGAAAAGATTCTTTGTTGAAAGATAAGTCTAAAATGTTTTCTTCTCTAATTAAACTGAAACACCAAGGTCTCTTAACTGTTTGCTTTATTTTCTTAACATGACAGAAAAATATTTCACTATATATGTATCAAACAGTCTTAAATTCTAGATATAGAACCTGTCCTACTCGTTCGTTTAGCTTATTTACAACGTGAAGTACCTTCTAGAATTCTGTGGGATGAAACACATATAATAGACAAGATGCTCAACCCTGGAGGTGATTTATAAAGGTCGTTTTCTTTATCATATCGTGTTTTTCTAATCGGTCAAAGATAATATCAAAAAATAATTACACTGAAATTTAAGATTGAGGTCAACAAAGTATTTCCTTTCAAATTTTAGTTTTTGTTTAAACTTCTAAACTTTTTTTTCTCAATAGCAGGAGTGAAATTTTAATTACTTTATAATTGCAAATCTTTATCTTTAAACGTAAAAAATCATTACAAGCCCTCTTGTAACTCGCGTCTTTGATCTATATAATTTAAAATTTTTTCTAACGTTTAACAACATACTGTACTTTATTATATATAACAGAAATAAACAAATAATATACATTATGTGTAACAAAAATAAAAGTTTGATAATGTTGGTTTAAAGACATAAATTGTTTGTAAGTCATGTGTAATTAAAAATAAAATTAAATTTTGTTAAAATTTTTTTTATATATACACTATCTAGCCATTAATGACCGGACACCCCTTGAAAGGCAGGTGGACTCGTCCTGGCGGAATAAATACGCAACCTGTGGTGGGGGGAAGACCATTCGCAAGCAGGCGACGGCCATACGAGCGTTAACAGTGAAAATGAGTGGACGGTGAGAGCTGAATGAGGCGGAAAAGGGCATGATCATAGGCTNATATATATGAAGTACGGAGGTAAAAAAGAGGTTTTAAAGCAGTGAAAGATATTAGAAATGTTAAGCGAAAAGTATACTATTCTTACGCTCAGAATTTCCTGATATCTATTGCAAAATAAAGAATATATAGCTCTAATCAATTTTTACACAACTGAACAAAAATTAGAGTATTCTTATTTTTAAAAAAAAATCAACATTTTATAAATGTTGAAAAGAGAGTCAACTTATATAATGTTTAAACTTAAAGTTTTTTAAAGCTGTTAAAAAGATAAAATTGTTCAAAAATTATATAAAAAACAGTTTTATAATTGAATTTTTATAACTTCATTGCTACTTATTTTAATAATCAGTTGTTTCTTTAAAAATGATATATTTATTTTCAGCGTTTGAAAAGTGAAGGCAATGAAAATATATGCCCGTTAAAAAATTTTCGACTTAAAATCCTAGAAGATTTCATATTATGAATTTTGATAATTGTTATGATCATATTTTTCATGTTTGTATTTTTTAGTATTGTCCTTTTAGGGATGAGGCATTAGGATTTCTTTTCAACACAGGCCATTGTTTGAGAATTTATGTTTTAAATAGCATGTAAGTTTTTGAAATGTTTAAAAATTCGGCTTATTTTTACATTTTGCACCCATTTTAACTGAGATGCACCAGGTAAGTTTTACTTATAACTGAAAACACCTATCGATAAAGATAGAAATATCATTTGTGGTGCATGGGAAAGAAAAGAAACCAGAGTATAGGACTTCAAAATAACTCCTGAGCTTCATCTGAAACCTGTTCATGCAAATATTTTTGTTTGACGTACTTAAAAAAGTTAAATCACTTTGCAATTTATGAGTTATTCGACATATCATTCAGATTGAAGAGTGCAGGACACTTCATGTATTGGAAGAAATATTGGAGTGTCAACTCTGGGATTCGAACCCTTATTCAGCCTGTCTAGAGATTGATCATTTTGCTCTCTCAGCTGTAGTATGTACTACCCAGCTACACAGAACAAAATGGCGCAGGTAGAATTCTGGTTGTTAAACCGCAATAGGTAAAAACAATCAATGAACTCTATTTTTCTTAAACTTAACAAGCTGAATACCATCTTATTTATTGTTATTTGACTGTTTTGTTTGAATATAGCAAAATGACAATTAAATAAATTGTTATTTAACCATTTTTAACGCGAAATTTCTAACAGTGTGAAGCAGATGAATCAATTAAAAGTGTTGAAGGCGGAAGTAAATTAATAAATCAAAAGCATTTCAACGAAAAC